CGAAACTGAGTTTAGCTTTTAAGACATGTTCTCACTAAAGTTCCTAGTTTTGGCCGCACTCGTCGCTGGCAGCGGCGCGAATAATGATAATGGACTGGTAATTAAAATAGGTAATATCCAAATTTAATTTTAAAAATCTTCATATTTTTAAAGTCATTCTCTTTTTATGTGCTAGGCGCCATTTTCTTTGATACCGAAATGGATCTGGCCGAGGCTTTTGATGCAGCTGTGGAGGAGGTAAATGCTTTGACAACAGACCTGCAACTGGAACCCATCAAGCACTATGTGACTGTGGATGATAGCATTGTGCTGCAGGATTTATGTGAGCATTGTGAGCACACTCTATCAGATCATTGTGATATACTATATTTTTGTCAGCTTGTGACTTAATTGGAAATGGTGTCGCTGCTATTTTGGGACCAAGTTCAAAGACAACCAGCGGTAAGTTTACTTTTTAACATTGTTGTGCTTGGCCAGCGGCTAAAACTTAAATTATTTTTAAACAAAATCGGCGTCATAAAATGATGTCTAGGCGGCTGTTAATGTTGTTGTTGTTGTTGTTGTTTTTGTCGTCTGCTTGTCGTAATTCCTAAAAGCTAGACCGGAGCACATGTCTATTAAAAAAACAGAGAGAGAAACAGAGAGCGTAAGTGAGAGACACATTGAGAGTGAACGTGGGAGAGCAGTTTTTGGGAGAGCTGTTGCTATAGTTTCTCAATATATGCTATGCACTAGCCTCGTTAATGATTCTTGATGTTTCGCATTAATTGGCCAACCAAACATTAGATCCAAATATTTTTGCAGTAAATAAACGAACGCATATACTATGCAGGATACCAGATGCGACACTTGCGAGTGGTTTTCTGGCCTGCTGCCAGATAAATATGTTCGTTTATATTATTACGTTTATTTTGCTCGGCACTTTCATTGTGTGTTTTGTTAGTTCGCCAAGCTGTTCTATACAAAAATATACACAATGAGTCGTGAGTTAATATTTGCGTAGCAATAAATTATTGATTACCCTTTCTTTTACTTATTAGATATTGTTGAGGTGCTGTGCAACATGACGGGCATTCCACATCTCCAGTTCGATTGGCATCCACAACAATCCTCACGTGAGCGTCTCAATCATCAGTTGACCATCAATGTGGCGCCCTCGGAACTGATTATCTCTACGGCCCTATCTGATATATTGCGCAGCAAGGCCTTTGATTGGAAATCCTTTACTATTGCCTATGAACGGGATACGCGTAAGTAAATAAAATATTGTTGAAGAGAAAAGAAGAGAAATCATTATTATCATTATCATTATCATTATCATTATCATTATCATTATCATTATCATTATCATTATCATTATCATTATCATTATCATTATCATTATCATTATCATTATCATTATCATTATCATTATCATTATCATTATCATTATCATTATCATTATCATTATCATTATCATTATCATTATCATTATCATTATCATTATCATTATCATTATCATTATCATTATCATTATCACTATCATTATCATTATCATTATCATTATCATTATCATTATCATTATCATTATCATTATCATTATCATTATCATTATCATTATCATTATCATTATCATTATCATTATCATTATCATTATCATTATCATTATCATTATCATTATCATTATCATTATCATTATCATTATCATTATCATTATCATATCATTATCATTATCATTATCATTATCATTATCAGAGCATTATCATTATCATTATCATTATCATTATCATTATCATTATCATTATCATTATCATTATCATTATCATTATCATTATCATTATCATTATCATTCTCATTCTCATTCTCATTCTCATTATCATTATCATTATTATTATCATTTTATATTCTTGTTCATATAATATTTTATTAAATCGAAAAAGTCTTATAGTATGTTAATTAAAGAAGCCTTCATTCTGTTTTTGTCTCTTTCAGATCTTGCCCGCTTACAGCACATTTTCGCTTGGAAGCAGCTGCACAAAACTGGCATTAAGCTGCAGGAGTTTCAACGTGGCGATGATTATAGAATACTTTGGAAACGCATTAACAATGCGCGTGAGAAATTCGTGTTGCTTGACTGCCCCTCCGATATATTGGCGGATGTGATCAATGCTTCGATCAGTTTTAATATGACCGGCTCCTTTAATGTGTGTAACTATATTGTGTTATTTAAAAAACAATTTTATTTAGTTTTCCTATTTGTATGCAGAATCTATTCCTAACCAATTTGGATACGCACGTCAGCGGTATTGATCGCTTCTATTCAAGTAAATTTACAGTTGCCGTTGCAGCTGTGAGGATTCGTTCCTATATTCCACCACCAGTTCATGATGAGATTGATGTGTTTGACAATGAAGTCGACGATCGGGTAGGTTCATATTGATTAAGCATTAATAAATAATAAAACTAACAATTTGTTATATATTTCTACAACAGTTTGCCTCGTTGAGCACTCAGCTCGTCTACGATGCGGTGGTTCTGTTCTACAATGCTGTGCTACAATTAAGTCAGCATACCGGTTTTTATACACCTCAATTTAGCTGTGGACGTGGCTTTTGGCAGCCCGGGCCGCATTTAGTGCAACAAATGAAGAAGGTATGATTTAAGGAATTTATCTATGATAAGAAGTGCTTATATATAATACTCGATCTAAATATCCTTTATACCCTCTGTATTTAAGCTCACACCGAAGCAAATCAAGCCGCCGTATAAGACACAGCGACTGCAATTAACGCAGGATGGGCAGCGTGAGGACTTCAATTTGGAAGTCTACAATCCGATCATTGATCGTGTGACGCACATCTGGAACAAGGATTTTCAGCTGGTGGACATTGACAAGATCAGAGAGAACTCAACGCAGGCATTGAAACAGCGACGTCTTGAGAACAAGGAGGACTTTTCGCAAAAGCCCGTCCGATATACAGTGGCTACGCGTGTGGGCAAACCCTATTTCAGCTGGCGGTAAGTACAACTATGAGCAAGCTAAACTGTAGCTAAACTAATCAAAGCAATTAAAAGCGAGGAACCGGAGGGCGTGCATTACGAGGGCAATGAACGTTTCGAGGGCTATGCCGTAGATTTGATCTATAAGCTAGCCGAGGAATGCAAATTTGATTTCAATTTCGAGCCAGTGAGGGATAATAAATATGGCAGCTATGATGCCGCCACTGATGAATGGGACGGCATAATTAGGCAGCTAATTGACAACGTGAGTGTGTGTGTGTGTGTGCATTAAATTAAGATTTAAATCATTTCCTCTCCACCTCGCAGAATGCACAGATTGGCATCTGTGACTTGACCATTACTCAAGCACGCCGTTCGGTTGTGGATTTCACGGTGCCATTTATGCAGCTGGGCATTAGTATCTTGTCGTACAAGCAGCCACCACCACAGGCGGATATTTATGGGTTTCTCAATCCCTACGGTGTGGATGTTTGGCTTTATGTAATGGTTGCCATGCTCATAACTGCGATGGCATTGATTTTGGCCGGCCGCATGGATTCATACGAATGGGAGCCACCGGTGCTGAATGAGAATAATGAACAGGAACGTGAAAATATCTGGCACTTGCACAATACCATGTGGCTTGTACTCGGCTCCATACTCAATCAGGGCTGTGATCTGTTGCCCAGGTGTGTAAATGTCTCAAGTCGAAGCCTCAATTCTTATTTAAACCATTTGCTTTCTAGGGGCCTTCCCATGCGCCTGTTGACGGCCTTCTGGTGGATTTTTGCGCTTCTCATTTCGCAGACTTACATTGCCAAACTGGCTGCATTTATTACCTCGTCGAAGATGACGGGTAATATTGCCTCGTTGCACGATCTGGTCGATCAGAATAAAGTGCAATTCGGCACGATACGAGGCGGTGCGACATCTGTTTATTTTTCGGAATCAAACGATACCGAAAATCGCATGGCCTGGAACAAGATGTTGTCGGTGAAACCGGATGCCTTCACCAAGAATAACGAGGAGGGTGTGGATCGAGTTAAACTGAGTCGCGGCACCTACGCATTCCTCATGGAAACCACCAATCTGCAATACTACGTACAACGCAATTGTGAGCTAACACAGATCGGAGAGAGTTTCGGAGAGAAGCATTACGGAATCGCGGTGCCATTGAGTAAGTCAACAGTTTTCAGATTGATAAAGAGCCCTAGCTTGTCTTTAATCCATAAACAAAACCCATTTAGACGCCAACTTTCGATCGAATCTAAGTGTGGGCATTCTTAAGTTGAGCGAGCGGGGCGTGCTCTATAATCTGCGCAACAAATGGTTCAATGCGAACGACACGGTTTGCGATAACAGCGGTTCGACCAACGATGATGGTCAGTTCGACATGGATGCTGTGGGCGGCCTATTTGTGGTGCTAATTGTGGGCATATTTGTCTCTTTTATGATCGGCCTTGCCGAGTTCTTGTGGCATGTGCATCGCACTGCGCTCAAAGAGAGGGTAAGGACTGTTGCTCGATCTGTAAGAGTTTTTCTAAATGGAGTGCCTCTTGCAGGTGAGGCCCATGGTGGCATTGAAGGGCGAGCTAAACTTTCTCATACGCGTCTGGCTGAGACGAAAACCGTTGCGCACTTATCGCGAGAGCCGTGACTCGACATCGACGGGCTACTCATCCCTCGGACAAATGTCCAGCACGTCCAGTGTGAAAAAGAAGAAAAAATCAAAGAAGAGATCCGAGTAGAAAACACTGAACAACGCTTGCAACATTCATTCAAATAGCATTTCTTATTGTTAAAATATAATAAAATATTTTTAGGGCACACAAATGTTGGAGATCGGTCGAAAAGTAGTTTCTTGTATGGCAAAATATTCTGCTTTCCAAAATATTTTCATGAATCTTAGCATTTACGAGATTTGCTTTGCTCACACATCTATACGATCTATAAGGGTATCAAATCTTCGGCATGCCGAGGATATCTCTTCTTCGCTTTTGTTTGCATTTATTTAAAAATCAGCTCTTTCGAGCCTAAAAAAATTGCCTCAACGTGAGCGTGGCTCACACAGGGCGAGTTATTGGTTAAAGTTTTCAACTAGCAATAATCGCAACTCGGTTGTGACCTCATTGTTTGCGATATTGCCACTGCACAAGGTTGTGCTTTGATCAGGAAAACGCTTGACAGATATGCACGGCGTTTGCTTTAACCGTTTGGGAATTATTGCTGAAAATAAAAAAGCTTTAAGGGTTGCTTGGCAGTTAACTCTAACTAACCTCCCCTATTCTAATGATCATAAAAGCCTAACCGGTTTATCAGACCAAGCCCTGACCAGTTCCTAGTCCAACAAGCTGCATCAATCGCAGACAATGTCAGTGCACCCTGGTCGCCGTTAAAGTTTAAAAATCTATCAGGGTTTGCCGCACTCGATAACCCCCCTGCTATTGAATTTTTATGACCTAACAAGCAATTGCTTGTCTTCTACGCAACTTGATGATGACCCTTGCCCGCATCAGACATTCAACTTTGATGCCCTTCAGGAACTTCCAAAAAAAAAACAAAAAGAAAGGGAGTGGAAAACGGGGAAGAGTCAAGAGTCTGCAGTGCGTTGTGGCCAGATATTTGGATTATGCAAGTTAAGCGGCTTGCCCGCAGTACGTTTGAAATTGTAAGCTGCTTTAAGGCCAGACCCGGGGCCAACAATTTGCCTTAAAGCCAATGCTTAAAACTCCCCGACGTTTTCACCTTTGCCAATTTGGCGCCTTTTATGGCCCGCTTTTGGCCGTCTCTCGATGCCATCAACAAATTGCCCCGTACTTACCAAATGGCCAAACTCTTTCTATTGTGTTTCGTAATTTAAATGGACATTTTACGGTGCGGGTCATAAAATGCGCAAATAAGGGTTAATTATGTCGCGCAGTTGACGTTCCAAGTGCCAACAAAAGATGCTCAAAGTGGCAATTGCCTAATAGGAATCTTAATGAGCAGCTACTAAATTCCGCCGGCCGAGTAGAATGGGCAACAAATTCGATTCTCAAGTTGTTTGAGAATTAAAAAAAAAATTTAATAAGAACAATATTTAGGTATCTACCAAATCAAAGCTATTAAATACATTGAAATGGATTTATTATTTTAATAACAAGAGTTAATACATAATCAACTTTAAAGGTTTGATTAGAAATGAAGGTGTTGAAAAAGGAAATCTATTAAAAAAGCATAAGATAAGCCTTTTAAATTGCACAACAATTTATAAAATTAATATAAACGTCATATATGCGGAAGTAGCATAGTGAAGTTTGGGGATCGCAACCCCGTGGAAAAAAAAACACACATGAAACTACATAAAATACCATTTAATGGCCAATCTGACAAACGAATACAAGTGTTTCGCAGACCTGTCCAAAATGACAGACCGAAACAAGCTTATTAGCCCATGTCAAAAACACCCACAAAAAAACGTTTGCCTCTAAACGGATGTAGTCAATATCAACACCATAAAACAACAACAACAACAACAACAAAAACAACGACAAGGAAACGCAAGCCCAAAATCCAAACTCAAACCCAAACCCTAACCCAAGCCCAAACCCATAAAAACAGACGCAGTCGATTGCCTCATCGTCGAACCGGAAACAATTGACTCGATTACACAGCCTGGAAAAAAAATAACACAACCTGACAACATAAACATGAGGCACCAATAAAAATAAGCAAAAAAAAAAGGAAGAAGGAAAAGCAAAAAAAAGGGATACAAAAAAACGCACACATTGTAGCCAGTGCAAAGAGTGCGTGTGCAGCATTGAGAGGGAGCGTGAGAGAGAGCGAGAGAGAGAGAGTGAGGAAGCGAGAGCGAGCTGTTTCCGGTTTGCTTTAGTTGGGTTAACCTCAAACTCAGTCAACTTTTCACCTTGTTTTAATGCAACTTTTGGAGGTTGTATTAGTTTTGTCATTAAATGTGTGACGCGCTATAATATATGTTAATGTTTATTATTATATTCATATAGTCTTTATTGTTAATGTATTAATAATAATTAATCAGAATCCATATATGTATATTAATACATATCAATATATTAATATGTTCCTTATTACCAATGTAATCTTATATTTTTTATAATTATTATATTAATTTATTTTGTTGTATTAATATATTTATATATTATTAATTACTAATACATTAATGTATCCGTTTTTCTTATCCATTAGTATATTCCTTATTTTTATTCCTTATCTATAAAAATGTTCTTTATTTGTAACATTTCTTTAATTTTAGAATTTATTAAATTTTATTAGTAAAATATGAATATTTATTTATTATCAATGCATTAGTATATTCATTATTAGTAATCTGATAATATGTCTTTAATATTTATGTTTTATTTTATTTCTTTTTGTTTATCTATAATATATATTTCTTATTTCTGATTAGTATTAATAATTAAGCCCACCATATGGAATCTATTGGGATCCATTGAATGCGTTACGAACAAAACTATTTCTATGACTGTAAGGGTATTTAAGATTCGGCGAGCCGTTTATTTTCATTTACGCTTACGTTTTGATTTGTATATATGGTAGTTTTTTTAGTTTTTATGTTTTGTTTTTGATTTTACCGTTTAATTGCAGTTTTTTATTTATTTTTTTTTTTATTTAACCACATTGTGAAATGTATTCGCTTTTTTCTTCTCGCCATATGTTCGAGAGAGAAAAAAAACCGCAAATTGTTTTATTGTGTTTTGCATTTGTGGATGAAATTTTAATTGTTATTTATAGTCGGGCATGCAAGTTTTATAGACCATTTTTAGCTATTGTTGTGCTAATTGGTTGAAAGCTCGAGACGAGACGAGAAAATATTCGTGACATGCGGCATAGAATTAAATTCAAGTTAGGCTGCAAATTGCATACAAAAATATTTGCAAACATTTTTACTAGTATTTGCGGTTTTTTTTTTTGTAATTTATAATTAAATTTTATAATTTGGATGGATTATTATTTTTTTTTTAATAATTATATGCATTTAAACTAAATTAAATGTCTAACAGTGGAAATATTTAACAGAATATTTGTTGTAATATTCGTTTTTAAATATATTTATTTTTATTAATTTAACGATTTCTAAATTTAGAAAAAATTCATTTGAACTAAATTGTTAGGTATTTTTTTATAACATTCGCTTTGAAATTTTATTTAAGCGTATTTTCCAAAATTCTACGCCTTATATAATATTGGGCCGACTACTGGGTGTCTGCACGTCTAGTGCGACAAAATTATTAATATTTTATAAAATGATTTTTTTTTTGGTTTTGTAAACATTTGTGTTGCAATTTATTTGTTGAAATTCAATCAGTGCCATAATTTAGTTAATTTACTGCCGCAATATCACGTATACGACCCGCGCTCCCTTACAAACCTTTTAATGAGCAGCTAACAATTCGCAGATTAACAAGGTGCAGGCTTTCTGGCTCTAAGCTGAACAAGATGCGACTTAAAAATGCATTGGAATTAGCAAACGGCACACAACGAGTCCACATACAATGCATTTTAAACAACAAGCAGCCGGGCGGCCAGAACTTGCCCCTGCAACAGAAGCAGCAGCAGCTTGACTGGAACAACAATAACTGAGGAGGCAGCGGCAATATGTTTGCCTGTATTTTCGTTGGCAACACGCGCGGCTCCAACGAGCGGCTCCAGTTGGAAAATCAGCCAGCTAACCAGCAGAAAACAAGCAGGCAAATAAAAACAGAGCCCAGAACCGACTGAGAGCAGAGCCTGCCCACCCACACCTCATCCCGCCAGAGAGCTCACAGACTAGGCACCGGGGCACAAATTCAATATGGCGCCACAGAGGAAGTGCAACAGACGCAGCCTGTGTGTGCGTGTGTGCGCGTGTGTGTGTGCGTATGTATGCTCGCATTGAGCCAACAGCTTGTGGCGTCAATTTGTGGACATTATTGTTTCATGACTGCGACCGGTACGCAGAACGAGGCCTAAGCAAAGCCTGACAACTCGCCGCAATCACTGGCAACCATTTGGCCAAAGGGGACGCAGCATGCAACACGAGTAGCATCAAGGTGCAGTATGGTGTGTGGGAGGGGTGGTGGTGGGAGGGCTGGGGGGGGGGGGGGGGGGGGGGGGGGGGGGGGGGGGGTACTGTTCACCGCACAGCATCACCAGCAGCTGTTGTGATCTAATTTTTGATTATTTACGCGATTTGCGCGTTAAATTTGCACGAAAAATTAATTGTGCGCCGCAGTTTTGTTGGCTTTTGGTGGTTTTTCTCGTTTCGACTCGGTTCAGTTTTCTGATTATCGGTTTTGCGAATGAAGAGCATTCTTTCGCACGGCAGCCGCAAATTAATTGCGTTAAACTGTGCGCAAATATCGGCAAATCAATTAGATGTTGAAGACTTGCGGGTCAGGACGCTTGAATTTAAATACGAAGAGTACAAAGGCATTGGGGATTTGGCAAGACGGCAGCTTTTCGAGGCGGCCTTCAAAATAATTGTGTAGCATACTAAAGCGAATTAGTTGTAGTTCGAAAATTTATTTAACTTTTTTATTGAGTTGCCTTTTTAACAAATTTTCAAAAAAATTGATAATAAATAAAACTATTTTGTAGTTAAGTGCAGAACACAAAAAAGAAGATTATGAAAAACGAAGGATATCTTCAGCTTGATACAAATATATTGGAAACTAGAATATTTTATCTTGCAAGAACGTCCCTTTTGAGCGATTATTCCAATGTCAGCTATATGATGTTTTTTTTTATAATTTTTTAAAAACAGATGTTTTAATACACTCGCTATAACATGAGAGGTCGGGTGTATCTAGAGGTCACGCTTTATCTTTTTTATATATATAATAGCAAAATGAATAAGAAGAAAAACAATTAAATTTATTTTTTAAATGTTCCGCTCTGTTAAACTAAAGCCCGAAATAGGGTCTACTTCGCGTTCGGTTAGACACATCTTTGGGCAATTGTCTTGGCATAAGCTTCAGGTCATCATAAAAAATAAATTGGAATTCAAGGCTCGAACCGGTGTGGTAAAAGCCAGCTTGCAGCCTGGTTTATAAGCCTCAAGCAATTGTAAATATTTCTATAGGTATATTAAAATATAGTATAGGAATATTTTAGTTATAAATCAAACAATACATTGTGT